AAAAAAAAAAAAAAATGAAGCCCAAATAATGATTCAAATAATTAAGATAAGCCATAGAGGTTTTTGTTAGTCTTTCAGGAAAATGCTTGCTAATAAGTCTGGATGCACAAGAGGGCACACTCAGCATATGAAATTGGTTTATTTTTCGTAGTAATGCAATGTATATTACTTTAAGGCTCTCTTAAAAGTAGACCTCGCTTGATTTATTTAGGGATGTGGTTTAAAGTTGCTTGGCCCTCAGGAGCTCCAGCTAGGTGCTAACCCCAGTACCAGTGGAAGAATAAATTTAGGTCAGAGCTTGTCTGTTTTATCACCCTCATTCTGTGTCTCCCAACAACGCTGCAACCAGTGCAGCATTGCAGTCAGCGGGGAGGAAGCTGAGCCAACATGTACTGGGTTGGTCTCCCAGCCTAACAACGTGTGTTAACTTGGTGACCTTAGAAAATTTACTTATCCACTCTCAATTTCAGTTTTCTCGATTGTAAAATGTGGATAACAGTGTACTGAGATAAGGAAATTGACTGAGGACAGGTAACTTTTACAAGCCCAACACAGCCAGTATGTGGAGGGGCTGAGAATCATACCCAAGTCTATTGGTCCCAGAAGCCTAAGTTCTTATTTCTACACATTCATTCTCTTTTAAGGAATTAAGAGCCTAAAAAGGCAGAACATTTTAAGGAGGATGTTTGCATGTAAAACTTCCTTAGAGTGATCAAAGAAGATATTCATTTACTTTGGACACAACTCAGATTTTCTTTCCATGGGCCTGAAGTGGATAGGAGAAAGTGATTCCTTCTGCTGGTGGTGGAAGGGGATGGTGGAATGTTGGGGGCAGTGTACATCTAAGCGCTCCCTAAGACTATATAAGCCTCCCCTCCGTGATGCCTCGACCCGCAGAGATTCTCCCTCCTCTGAACTCCGGCAGTTCTTATTGTCCATACTTGTTTGGTATTTGCTGTAGACTGTTCTGTTTTGTGAATTGTCATAGTCTTTAGCTCCTGCTTTGTTACCTAAAGAAAATATCTCATTCTTCTTGGTTTCCCAATTCTTACTATAGAGCCTGAACCATAGTAGGTGCTCTACCCTTACCCATGCTGACGATGACGATGAGTTGCTACGTGATCTTGAACATCCTCTGAGGCCTCTGTGTCATGAGTTATGTGTTGGAATTAATTCCTAATGCTTAGTGATTGCTACCAGTGATCGTAGGTTGTCTTTCCCTGATCTGCCTCAGAAGGTCCAGTTCTGGATTGATTCTTTGATTCAGATGGAATTAATTCTGACCAGCTCTTGATCCAAGAGGCCTCTTATAAGTGCAGCTGGTTGGTCATGGGGTGTATGACTTCTGGCCAAGGCCTTATTCAGGTTGTTGTTAAAATCCACACACTGGAGGCTATGTCTTCCCCTCCTTCATGGGGGTGTTTGACTGGCACCTTCAGTGTCCGATTGAGTATACCTTACTGATGGTAAGAAAACAATAAAAGATCTTTGTGTTCATTTAAAATCATGACTAGAAATGATAATTTGCACAATTCCTTAATTTTTTGCCTGCGAAACATTGTAGGTGTATGAAGCATTTGATATTTAGAGTAGAAAAATTTTGAAAATAGTTGCAATTTATGAGATAGAAACATGCATCCCCTGCTACAATATAGTGATCAAAATTTTGCTCATTCTTTCTTTCAGGGCAATCATGACCCATGCTTCGGTGCCTAAGAGCGACAGAGAAGTCCTTGGAATTAGTGACACACTGATTCGACTCTCTGTGGGCTTAGAGGATAAACAAGACCTACTGGATGATCTAGATCAAGCCTTGAAGACAGCAGTAAGTTTTATTTTAGTGTATGTGTGTGTGTGTGTGTGTGTGCGCGCGCGCGTGTGTATATGTGTGTGTGTGCGCACGCATGTACGCACACTTAATCTTGGGAGTGGTGGGTCACTATGTTTATAGAGTGGCCTCACTATGTTTATAGAGTGGACTGTAAACGTTTTCTTATTATAATATACAGGGTGTATAAATGTATAGGGAAATCAGTCGAAATGCAGATTTAAAAGAATGTAGTCTTCAGAAAAGAATTCTTGGAGGAGGTGAAGTCTTTGCCTGAAGGTTTAATAACATATTTTTCTTGTGCACTGTTAATACAGCACTCTCCAAATGCAAGTCACAACTAGCATTCCAGAACTGCTATTAGAGGTTGCTTCCTGCAAAAAGATCAAAACTTCTGAATAATTGAATGGACCATTAATGAGCCTTTGCAGAGTTTTCAAGTGAAAATTTTAAGGGACTTTATTACCTTTCACAACTGTAATCTTCCTGGTATCATTCCTGTTAAAAAGTTTCCTCTTTCCCGTATTGTAATTGACAAGTCAATTCTGTTAAGATCTTTTTGTTAATTTGGATATACATTTGCCTCTGAAGGAGGTGAGATTTGTGCTGCTATTGGGGATTGTGTTCTTTTTTTCAAGCTTAAGATTTATATTGATCATGTTTACAATATAATGGCATTTCATTTTTCATGTTTTCTGAGGAATTTAAATTATTAAATGAATGTTCTTAAATCAAGGGTGATTTTGTATATTGTTGAAAATAGCACTCAAAGCAATGGTTTACACTTAATTACCATAAGCCAAAAATCAAATATCTGTAAAAGTCTGTGAAATTTTACTGATTTAAGGTTGTACTTACTATTTTTTTAAAAAATAAATCTAATTATCAAATGTATCCCATTGTGATATTTCTGTACTATGTGACATTAAATTGTATTCCTGGGCCCTTTTAATTCCCAACTCTTAGAGGTCTCAGCCACTTAATTTTTATAAATTCAATTGTGTAATTATCATGCTCAAATCTTAGTGTTTGCACATTAGTTATAAAATCTGTACGGGGCAGGTCAAAAGCCACTTTTATAGAGAAATATTACTTCTTATATTTTCATCTGAAATAGTAAATTTGTTGAGGCTAAAGGAAGAAATACTTTCATAGCTAGAAGCATAATCAGCAAGTTATTGTCACTATGTCGTAAGTGAAAATAATTGGATTTTTTAAATTGTTTGTACTAAAGGCTTTCAGTCACATTTGCTATCACCATTTGTTTCAGTTTTAAAAAATCCTATCATTGGGACTTCCCTGGTGGTCCAGTGGTTAAGACTCCATGCTTCCATTTCAGGGGGCATGGTTTGATCCCTGTTTGGGGAACTAAGATCCTGCATGCCCAAGGGCATGGCTGGGGCGGGGGAGCCTATCATTGAACTCGATTAATAATAGTGCTGGGTAGGAGGAGAATGCATACAAATACATATTCTTATGTATTGTGCATTTCTGAATTATGTGTATGGACCCTGGAAATTCTGTCTCTGTAGGTAGCAGCATTTTGAGACTGGTTATATCCCACTGTGGTTTCTGGAAGACTTGATTTCTTGCCATTTCTGTACCTTAAGGCTGTAGGGATAAACAAATGACCATTTGAATAAGAAAAGAAAAGGCTATTTATTCTAAGCTTACAAGGGAGTCAGCTACTGTCACTTGTTTTTTGGCAGACTCAAAGGAAGGCAGAGCATAGGTATTGCAGAAATTTTAATGCCTGTTAATGTGGATGAGAAACAAAAATTTCCGAATTTAAAACTGTTAGATGACTTTTAAATGAATAACATTAAATCACTGTCATAAATGTTAAAAAAAAAAAAAAGCTAAGAAAAACAAAGGCAGACAGAAGAATGAAAAAGCTTTGTAGTGTAAATAGAGAAGTCTTCAAGTATGCCCCGATTAGAGGCTGTTGGCCTAGGGAAGCGGTGGGCAGGTTGAATTGAAGTGGGGATCCTGTGTGATTGGGTAGGGGAGCATATTTGGTTTTCTAGGTTTGGTCCTCAGTCAAAAGCAGGAACAAAAATTAAGGAAGCTGTCAGTTATTAATCAAGTCCTAACCATTTGGGGCTGATTATTACAGAAGTTACTGTTTAGCTTCCTGGATTGTCACTAGAGGCAGCAATCAAATTTCCTACACATCTGACTTATAGCAGCTGGCTTCCTGGGTTATTTATTGTAGATAAGGAGTTGGTTTTCTGGGGAGCTTGCTGCAGATGGTAGGTCAAAGGTCTATTTTTATATATGGTCTATCCATTGCCTGAGCTTCTGCTGAGCAGCAAGTAACTACCATTTTATTAGTCAGAATTCTCCAGAGAAACAGAACCAATAGGGTGTGTGTGTGTGTGTGTGTGTGTGTGTGAAGAGAGAGACTGAGAGAAAGAAATTTATTTCAAGGAATTGGATCATGTGATGGTGGGGGGCTGGTAAGTCTGAAATGTGTGGGGCAGGCTGGAGATTCACCTAAGAGTTACTGCAGTCTTGAGACCAAAATCTGCAGGGCAGGCCAGCAAACTGGAATCTCAGACAAATTTTCTGTGTTGCTGTTTTTGAAGCAGAATTGCTTAGCCTTCAACTGATTGAGTGAGGCCTACCCACCTTATAGGGACTAGTCTCCTTTACTCAAAGGCTACTGATTTAAATGTTAATCACATCTAAAACATATCTTCACAGCAACATCTGGACGAATATTTATTTGACCAAACAGTTGGCATTATAGCTCAGCCAAGTTTGTGGATAAAATTAACTGTCACAACCATGTTCTAGGCAATTTCCCTTATTGCCTGAGAAGGCACCGTTTTGTTTATTAGGGTTTAAGAAGCTTATCTACACTTTTGGTTACCTGCAACTATGTCTCCATTAACATAGTTCACACCGAGATGATGATTCAGTGTTTAAACACTGCACCGCACCCCTTCCCACTTCATAATACATCTAGCTTTGTAGAGGGTAACATAACTGGACAGCCACATACTGATCAAGTTAGATGAGGTCAGGCTTCCAGCACACTATTTTTCACTGAGTTGCTTTATAAGGTACATTAGTCAAAATTCAGTCCTACCTTGTACATTTTCTTTTAGTTTTTTAGTGAGTTCTATTATAGGTAAGGTGCATAAAGTGGTCCTTTATTTTGGAATATCGTGCCAAAGACTACTAGCTCTGAGATGTGAGGGGTAAATAAGAAAGTAACAATGAAATCTGGAATTAAAAAAAAAAAAATTGACATCCTTTTTAACAACAGCATAGCCTTAAATGACCTGAATTCCACAGAGGAGCCAGGAAACAGTTGGGAACTACAAACTGATTTTACACAAAACAGAAATCTAACACCCTGTATTTTTGTAAATATAATATGATCACTTAATTACTTAAGTAGACCTAAAGAAAGTTTCAGGAAAAAGGAAATAAAGCTTGTAATGCAGTTTAGAAAAACGCAAAAGGTAACACAAGTGCTTCATAAGAAACCTGTCTTAGGAGGCCAGTATCAAAAGAAATAAGAAATATGGCAAACACGATTAAACCAAAGTCGTCAAGGGATAACAAAAGTCTTATTAGTAAAAATAAGAAAACTTCTCTGAGTAATTATCCAAAGACAAATAAGTATTAAAAAAAGAATTTTCATCTCCATAGCAAAAGAAACCCTGATTCCATTTGCTTCATAACAGAACTACAAACTTAGAAAAAAAATTTTTTTAAATAATTTATTTATCTAATTTCGGCTCATTGGGTCTTCATTGCTGCATGCAGGCTTTCTCTAGTTGTGGCGAGTGCGGGCTACTCTTCGTTGCGGTGTGCGGGCTTCTCATCACAGTGGCTTCTCTTGTTGCGGAGCACAGGCTCTAGGCGCATGGGCTTCAGTAGTTGTGGCACACGGGCTCAGTAGCTGTGGCTCACAGGTTCAGTAGTTGTGGCTCGCGGGCTCTGGAGCGCAGGCTCAGTAGTTGTAGTGCACAGGCTTAGTTGCTCCGCAGCATGTGGGATCTTCCTGGACCAGGGCTTGAACCTGTGTCCCCTGCACTGGAAGGCAGATTCTTAACCACTGCACCACTGAGGAAGTCCCAAACTTAGAAAAAAAATTATGCAATGTAATTGACTTGGAATAGAAATTGAAGGTTCATTGAAGAAAGGATTGCTGTATTTCTTTTTCTTAATAACCACATTTGATTAAATATTGACTTATTGCTCACAAAATCAATCTAAATTTGTTCCAGTGAGAATGGTCAGATACTGCAAATATTCCTGATCTTTTGAGTAGTGTGCCTCTAACAGAACACATATAGCATAGCCCTGGGGAATTAAAGATTTCTGAGTTCATTACTAATTTTACAATACTTTATATCTCAGTTTCTTCAAATAGAAAAAAGTCCAGACCTATTTTTGTTTGTTTGTTTGTTTTTGTTTTTTTCTTTCATTTATTAGCTCAGCTGTTCTCACACCTACCTGTTGAATTAGAAGGCACAAGTATAAGTCCATCTTCTATAGAGAGGAAAGGAAGATTCAGAGTGGTTAAGTGACTACTCCATATCACATGGCTAATAAAAATAATTGGCAGAACCAGGGCTAGAACTCTGGTCTTCTGACCTTTCATTTCATTGTTCCAGTGCACCATTCGTAGTCCAGCATAGAGAATTCATAAGCAGATTAGCAAACTACTCTCTTGATATTGCAAGGGTTGTTATTAGTTATTAGTGTTTAGTTGGGAAAGGGAATAGGATGTGACTCTCTAGGATGGACATGTATTTTATTCACATAACTCATTTTATTTTGAATAAAAGTTTGGCAAAGTCTAGCTTTGGCCTGCTTCTCAAGGGATGGTCTCTGAAATAAATGCCCTGTAGATGTGGGTCAAGCGGGCTGGACTTTTATAGTCTTGTATTAGTCAATCATTAGTTGTGGGGTGGGGAGGGGGAGAGGCAGCGAAGGTGGTGGGGATGGGGGTGTGTGGGTAACCTCCCTGGTGAAGTGGCTCCACCCAGCTGAGGCAATTCTCTAGAGAAGGGTGGATAGGAGCCCTGGGCTGGCAATGGGGGTCCAATGGGTATTACAGCACCCACTGCAAAGTAATGTCATGCCTCATCCTTTTACATTGTTGATGCAGATAATCAATAACCAAACTATGACAGGGATAAGAAAGAGTTTTATTTGAACCAAATTGAGGACTATAGCCTGGGAGACAGCCACTTAGATAAGTCTGAGGGACTGCCCCACAGAAGCATGGTTTTCACACAGCTTTATACCTTGTCACAACAAAGAACATCAAAGAGTCAGGTTTCCAAAAACAAACAAACAAACAGATCAGCCTGTACCGGATGAGTCAGTATGGCCTTGACACCTGGGAAAGCGGCCTTATTATCGAAGGACTACTGGCATTGGTGTCCCAGGACTGGAGGCATTTAATCTTTATTTTTAACAGGGACATTCTTTATTTGTGATCAATGCACCCTTTTCTTTAATGATTAAAGCAGATGTAAAATGTATGTTTGATAGGCCACAAACAGGCTGTTTTAGTTAGCATAAAATTCAAGTTAAATCATATATAAGCCAGAATGACTTCCCCACACCTCAACATGTGAAAATTTCTTCCATTAATATCTAACAACCTCCAAGTTAGTCTAAAAAATTTATTGTGGCTATAATGTGATTATTACACTATGACAAAATTGTTGCCTGACTTCTTTCCTTCCTTTCTTCCTCCTTCCTTCTATACTATTTTTTCTTTTTTGGAAAAATGATTTTTTTCTAGCAAATTTAGGGAATTGGAAAAGGACATTTTTAAAAACAGGCTTCCATTACAGAAAAGTAAAAATTAGACTTTCTGAGTTCAAAACCCAGGTCAGGTGCTTACCAGCTATTTGACTTTGTTTTGAGCAACTTATTTAAATAGTCTAAGATTCAATATCTGTCCTCATCAGTAAAATGGAGATAGTAGTAA